GAATGTGAGAATATGAGAATGTGAGCTTAACGGTGTTTGTGTCCTGTTTAACGCTGCCTCGCGGCCTTCGGACGTTAACCTGGATTCAGACTCTCTCACTGGCGAAGACTCTCTGCTTGACTGTTCTCTGCTCTCTAACCCTGCTGCTGACCTCTTGGATGAGTTTGCTCCCGTAGCTTTCGCGGCTCAGCCTCACAAAGGTAAATTCTCGCTTTGTCTCTAACATCTAATCCGTCCAGGGACATGGTCCATAGCTATTGTGAAGTGAACCTGATGCTGGTTTACACAAGAGATGCTCTGACCCATGTTCTGGTGACTTTTTTTTTTTTTCCCCGTCCAAGCTGTTTGTTTTCTTCCCAAGCTGGTGAAAACTGGAATGCACATTGAAGTACAAAGGGAAAAATATAGATAGAAGTATTCAGCTTGACTGTAAAGACAGGGTTTGTCAAGACAGGTGACATCTTCCATGAAACAGGGATACAGCAGGGGTGGGCTTTGGTGTGCAGCCCTTCCTCAGGTTTGTAAGTGCACTCTGGTTTTGCTTTCTGCCCATGGGATTTAAGACACGCTTTTATGCTGCATCACTATTCTGGAAGGGAGCCTGATAATCACCTGTCCTGGTGTCCCAGGCTGTTAAAAGGAAAGGAGGTTGGTTTTTTTGGTTTGTCGGAGCTAGCATCCCTAGCATGTGACTGAGCTCTTTAAGGTCTGGAGAATGTTTTTCTTTCCAGACGTTATCAGGGTTAGGTTCTTGAGTCAAACTGCAGTGTCACAGCAAATCCGAATGAGAGGCTGAGTGCAATATCCAGTTGAAAAATGGTAACACAAAAAAAGCAGAGTGAAGAAGAGCAGCAGACCATGGGTGGTGGCTCCTAAGTGCTGCACATCCGCAGGACGTCAGTATTTGAGCTGGAGTGGAACTGTGGCAATTCTGTGCAGTGAGCGGAGATCTGGTCTCTTTCCACTGACAAGCAAGGGAACTGGGGTCCTAACTCAGTTTTGTTTGGTTTTTTTCCAATAATAATGGGCTAAAGCAGTTGTGAGTGGGGCATGTGTCCCTTGGGGACAATTCCAGATGTTAGCAGGTGACTCTCACGTAAGCCAAGCTTGTAGTAAATACTGAGTAGTACCCACACCCTGGGTGGGAGGGGAGACCAGGGTTTCTGTGCTATTGATTGCCTTGAAAAGAGAGGCTCAGAGCACAAATGCTGACTGCTGGACGCCCCTTGACGCTGGGTTTTGCTGAGCTCGGTTGGTGAGTATCCCTATAGCAACAGCAAATGATCTGTCCTCGGAGGAGTCGCTGTAAAAACAGTCTGTAATCAATTTTTACACTTGATGGCACTTCAAAATGAGTTTGTATTTTCCATACAGCTTTTGGGTTTAAACAAGCAGTTGTTCTAATTGCTAATTGCTGTGATACACTTCCGTGCTACTTGATTTGGAGGAAGTAGCATGAAACGTATGTCGAGCAGTTATTGCTCCGTGGCCGGCCGATAGCAAAGCCAAAACATTGCTGGTGTGACTTAATGAGAAAACAAATTAACAGACTCCTGCTCGACTTCTCCCAGGCTGCCCTGCTGGTCCCTCTGGTCACATCTGACAAGGAAAATGGGACTTGCGTTAGTGGAGGGGGCGAAATATTAAAATCTTCAGGAGCTCTGAAAAAATTACGAAAATATTAAAATCCTTTATAGCTCTGGGTGTGCTCATTAACTGTACCTCTAACTCAAGCTTTTTTTTCTGTTTGCTTTGTTTATCCACTCCTGGTTTTGGGGACGTGAAGCACCTGTGGGGCAGATGCTGCTGTCCGTGGGTGCGATCCGCCTGTGGAATATCAGTGGGACCAGGAGGACTTGAGAAAGCAGCTGTGGTCTGAGCAGGGGCTGCTGCTCCAGCCGTGCCGTAGCATCCTTTCCTCTGGGCTTTGCGAGGCTGTTTTCTGAATTTTTGCTCAGCCTTCACAATTCCCTAATTTGCCGTTGCTGAATGCGGCACTAAGCTGCGTGTATGTGAGAGGGGAGAATTCTTCTGCTTAGGGTGATAGGTAGTCACTGCAGTTGAGCTCAGACGCTTCGGGAGGAGTTTTGCCCAAGCAGGGACACTCGCCAGCCTTTCCCTCTCCTTAGGAAAGACAGCCCACAGCCGAGCAGTGCTCCTTCAGGAGCTTCTCCTGCAGCAAACTCCAGAGCTAGGAGCAGTTGTATGTATAAATGAAGCGAAATATGCCTGCAAAGGCTCCCAGGTAGGTTGAGAAGAGCCACAAATAACTAACTCCAGAGACAGAGCGATGACAAGATGAGACTTTGCGTTAAGATGAAATGGTTTTGTGCTTTTGACACTTTACAGGCTAGTCCCCTGTAAAATCAGGGGGTTTTTTCTGGGTCTTATCCTCCAGAGGCCAGTGTGTTTCCACAAGGGGTTTCGTACATCGCCTCACCCAAAACCTGTCAGCGTGTTTGTCAGCTTTAGGCAAAGAGTTTTTG